CCTCTAGGTCATTAAAAATAATCCATCTGGGGTCGTTTTTCTACTTTATGGAAAATATTCTTCAAATATAAGTTGTTTGTAATGTTATTCTCTATAATTTTTTTTTCCTATACAAAATTTTCCTAAAATGGTCCGTATTCGAAAAATTTGACAAAAAGTGCTAAATTCGATTTTTTAAGAAATTTGTTTAAATAAAAGTTGGTGGCGATATCATTCTCTATAATTATTGTCTATACATTATACACTATTTTTCTAAAATGAACCGTAATGGAAAAATTTGAGTAAAAGTGTAAAATTTTAATTAGTATATTATAAAATAAATGTTTCGGGTAAGATGTGTGTGGAAAATGTATGTATTTAGTTCATCCTCTAAACATTTACAGGTGTGATACAGTAGGTTGTACAAAATAACCGGAAAAAACTGTAATAACTAGACAGGAAAGTCATGGACACATTTTAGTAAAATAGTTACAAATAAAATGTAAGAGCAATAACTATTTACATTTTATTGTCATTTTTAAAAATAATTATGTGTGAAAATTATTTTTCCTGCCTGATTCTTACGTGAGGAATATATATAAGTGGGTATGATTAAGGGTTAAATTGTACATTGTATTTATTTCTATTTATTTAGTTTTTAGAATTTTAATTATTTCTACACATTATACATGTATTTTTTTTTTAAACAAACAAAAAATAAATTAATAAAATATTTTTTTTCTATGCCCTGTCTGTTTATGGTTAGAGTGAATAAAGTAAAAAAGCGTTAAATAGTTCCATAAGCTAATGCAGTTGATTAGTGCAATTGTTCCAAACCTTTACCGGAAAAAAATATCAAGTCACATTTGACTTTGACAGTTTTTACAGACTTATAAGATACTATCTGTATCTATAACGTGTCGAGGGTGGGTTACCCCCACGGCATTAGGCCTCACTAGGCCCATTGTGCATCCTCCTAATATGATAGATACCTCCTAGCTCGTAAGCCAGCCTACAGATTTAATGTAGTTGACAACGTCGCCAAGAGGTGCTTCTCCTATATCGGCCGGTGTTAGCCAATACTCGCCGAACACAAATCTTCTTGTTCGCACCCTCTGCATAGTGCGGATTCTGACAGCCCCATGATATGGAGATGCGTCCGTACTTGCAATGACCAGTCAGAATGCCTATGACTAGGCGCAGATTCTGTTTAGTCATAGTCAAGTATTTGTTTACTGCAGTGTTGTCAGGATAACTTAAGTGCTCCCTGGCAACTCTGCAGTTTCTTGTTTCAGCCCATCTGTCCTTGAATTTCACAAGGGAATGTTCTTTAATTAGGTCTGTAACTACCGATTTTGTCAGGCCAATAGAAGGGCCAGATCCAAAAAGTATTTGGTTGGCTGCTTTCTTGGCTAGTGAATCAGCAAGACGGTTACCTTTCGATGTGGCGTGACCTTTGATCCATCTTAAGGTGACCACATTGTTGATGGATACTTCGGCCAGAGCTTCATGCGTGACACTCTAGTACTAACCCTGAGTAAATTCGTGGTCTGTTCAGGGCGAATAGTGCTTGTCTGCGGTGTAGATGAGCATGTTCCTTCCAGTGATATTGTTTCTGGTGATTTTGTTGCTATGAGAATCCTTGTTAGCTCTGTTTTGACTACACTGGCACTATTGCTCACAGCCCATTTTATATTTAGGTTTAAGAATCTGAAGTATATTCCACATCCTTAGCCTTGTTTTGTTTTAGAACCATCGATGTAGATATTACTTTATATGGCTGATGAAAGAGATATCTCGGTGAGATGGAGTCCATGTTCGCTTGAAGCAATGAAGTGGGAGCGTATTGGGCGTCTCCTGCCAAAAGCTACGTCTCGCCTCACTATATCCTACATTAAGTTCTATTCCAACCGTGCGGAGGCGTGTCATTGTCGTCAGAGCAACCTTCTTGATGTAAATATCAAGGGGAGTAAGATTAAATGACTTCCATTACTCTGGTCAGTGTTGTTGTTTTCATGGCTGCTGTTATGTTGAGACATGCTGTTCTTTGAATTTGTTCTAGTTTACGGATAGCTGTTAATTTTTGGGTTTTCGTTACCCAGACAACTGCACCATATGTTAGAATAGGTCTTATGATAGCCGTGTAAGTCCATGTGACGATTCTGGGGGAGAAACCTGAGGTGCGCCCCATGGTTCGGCGGAATTGTTCATAAGCAATGTATGCTCTTTTGACTGTTTTCTAAATGCGAGTTCCATGTTAACTTTCTGTCAAAGGTGAGACCTAGGCACATACTTTGATTACTATACGAGGCAAGAGAGAGGTCCGACACGCCCAACATAGGGCGCGGCCATTTTGAACCCTGTGACACAGTTTACAGCTAAAGAATCAGATCGCTCACTCTGCGTCGGCACTTTGGATCTCAATGTTTCAGTTTATACACTGTGCAACTCGGATAATACAATATATGACAACCGCCTATAATAAAACAGCAGTCTTCTGCGTATCCTGAATTTGTATCCCTGGAGTGGATGTTATTTTGGAACTTTCAACTGGTCCGAGTGACCTAACTGATTCTTTAGCAATAAACTGTGACTTCAAAAATAATATTCACTGACACTGACAGCAGCAAGCAAAATATCAGGTGCGTTTTAATTATCCGCTTCTGCTTCCGGAATTGTCGGTTTAGTCGTTTTAACCTGTCAGATTAAAACAAGAAAACCGACAATTCCGAAGCAGAAGCGGATGATTAAAACGCACCTATTCAAAATATTGCGCCAAGATGTAGGCAACACGTAATAAGGGTTCAAAATGGCGGAGTTTTCTATCTCTTTTTAAAAGGCACTCAGAAAGATGCGCAGTGCGACCATTCTCCGTATAGTAAAAGAATATCAAAGTATGTGGACCTAGGTATTTCACCCCTGTTGCAAAGTTTAATTTTGTGTTTAGGAGTTCTGGAGGTTTTAATTCCATTTTCATCCTTTTCCTTGTGAAAAGGACCATTTCTGTTGACTTTGACAGTACATGAACTATAACTCATTCGTTTATAGTAACCAAAGAATACCTACCCAAGAAGCGAAACTAAATGGGCGATTTGTGGACAAAAAACTGCCAAGTTTTCTCAGTGTTTTAGAGGTGGTTTAACGTCAAATATAGCTGTCATTTATGAAGAGCAACGTTTGGTATATTATTATTAGCGTTTTGTAAAAAATGCAGTATAGTTAAGTAGTTGTATTTAACTAAGTAGTAATTAGAAATTAGTTTTAAAATTTGTATTACATGAAAAAAAATACATTGCGTTACTCGTAAATTTTATTGAACGTTCATGCATCTGGCTGTCAATGTTTTTTTATTTCTAAATAAGTATTACCTATAATGATAATTTACGCTTACGTATTATTTATCGTTTAATTTCTTAGCCTTTTATTTAAATATGTTATTTTTTGTTTTTCAAACTATTCGAATCAAAACAGTAAATAAACAATAATACAAAACAATATTTAAAATATATGAAAACCTCACTTCGAGGAACCAAGTCGCTGCTATCAGGATACAATCGAAATGCATTTACAGATACCTACAGTACTTCTGGATATGTAACGTGTAGAGGTTGGGTTACCCTATGGCACTTAAGCCTCACTAGGCCCATTGTGTATCCACCTAAAATGATAGGCACCTCCTAGCTCGTGAGCCAGCATACATATTTAATGTAGTTGATAACGTCGCCAAGAGGTGCTTCTCTTATATCGTGCGGAGACGGGTCATTGTCGTCAGAGCAACCTCCTTGATGTAAATATTAAGGGGAGTGAGACTGAGAATTACTATCATGGCTCTAGTCGGTGTTGTTTTCATGGCTTCTGTTATGTTGAAACATGCTGTTATTTAAATTTTCGGTACCCAGACACCTGCACCGTATATAAGCATAGGTCATGGCCATGTAAGTCCATGTGAGGACTCTGGGAGAGAAACTCCAGTTGCACCCCACGGTTCGGTATAATTGTTTATAAGTAATGTATGCTCTTTTAAAGTGTGAGTTAACTTGTTGATAAAGGTGCTACCTAGGTACTTCATCTCTGTTACAAAGTTGTGTTTCGTGTTTAGGAGCTCTGTAGGTTTTAATTTCATTTTTATCCTTTTCTTTGTGAAGTCATCTGCTTTCGGTATTGTTTATTGTACCTACTGAATTATTTCGTTATTAAAATAATCTACTTGACACAATGAACATAGTAAGAATGTTCTATCTGTCATTGTTACTTTAGTATGTGTTTAATTCTAATGAACCAAACGACAAAAATTGATTAATTTTCATACGTTTCCCAGTGTATTAAGTTCCCTTGCTTTGGTACATACGAAAACTCATTTAGTTTCGCTTCTTGGGTAGGTATTCTTTGATAGTAACAATAATTCGATTTGTTTTAATTTAGTAGTTGTTCCTATTATTATTATGGATGGTGAAGATTCCTAGTTTGAAATATGTTCTCCCGAAAAAAATCATAGAAAAGACAAATGTGGCCACATTAAATTTGCTTACGGAGAAATCCAAACGAATATGACACTTTTATGAAATGGCGGAACCAGAATAATATTCATAGCTATTAGTTTTTTTTTGAAGGAAGGTCTAGAATATTCAAGTCTTTTACATTCTGGTCCAGCTATTCTAAACTAAAAGCAACCTTAATTATTAATGATAACGTAGATATACATAAATATTTTAAACTAATAGGATTTCTGAAGGAGTTTAGTTAAAATATTCCAAATTACTATTTTGTTTTTATTATTTGTATAAGGTTGTAGAAATAATATTGTATGCAACATATGCATAAAGTGTCTTTATGCACTTGTTGCATAAATTACAATTTTCCCATTTTCATATTGTAATAAAATAAGCTTATAAATCTAAGGTGTCCATAAATGAAAGTACACCTTCATTCGTTTTATCTGAGACACCAAGATTATTAGTAGTTATCAAAATAATAGTTGTCATTTAAACCAGTTACGTTAATTGAATTTGTTTTTGTTGTAGGAGCTACAAGAGATATCGGAACAGCCCTCACCAGGATATGTTTAAGGCATAAAGCAGTTGAAAATAGGTTAAAAAATTTTACAAGGTAGGTCAAATTTTTTTATCTAAATAAATACTGAAAACAAGCCTTAATTTTAGATTTAAATATGACAAAAAGCTTTTTCTTGTATATTAGTCGTCAAAATTAATGAAACAGAACGTCATAATCTCTAGTACTGATTATTCCTCTTGACAGTGACTTTAAAAACGTTCACAGCTGCCTTATACCTAGATATCTACAATCATTGCGGCTTTTAATTAATAATAATTGACGACAAAATTAAGGTATAACTGTCATTTGCACACTCAGAATTTATTGACCGTTTGCCAAACAAAACAAACACGACTTTGATAAATATTCCTTTATCGAGCAGACTATTTATTTTATTTCCTGTGCTTGTCGACGATAATGCTTTAATATATGGAATTATATCAGGCGTGAAACTTGTGACTTAACTTTAATCTGTAAAAAAAATTAGTTTTCTATAATTTCTATGCAAAAAAACTCGGCATGTCTGAATATAGCTTCGTACCATAGAGATACAGGGTAGCTAGCCATTAGCGGAACTGCGTCAACATTTTAGACAAGATTGACTTAGGATTGTCTGATATAAAAAAATTTAAAATTAAGAGGTGGGTAGTGCGTGCGAGGGAAAAACAATTTCGCCATAGGCGAAAATTTTTTTAGGGTGCCGCGCCATAATTTTTGCGATAAAAAAAACATGAAAATTTTATAATACATCATCTTAAAAGACTAGAGATAAAGATATATTTTTCAAGCGAAGCTCTTTGCCAAATCGTGACCATATTTTTCCAAAACAAAACGAATACATATAAAAAAAAAACTAAAAAACAAATTAATACCAACACCTACCGACTTAAATATAATAACAAAAATCAAATATATCACTAAATACTAAAAACAATACATACATTAAAAAATACATATATATATAGGAAGATATTTGTAATTTAAAAATATCTATTATAAACTTGGGCGAAAACATTTAGTTATTTAATCAATGTCAGGAAATACTATAAATTAGTTCAATAGGATTTACCAACTTTAAATAGAAAGGCAAAATTAAAAAAAAAAAATTAGATAGAAATAAGTACCTATTAAATGATTAAAACAATTAAACGTAAAAAAAAAAGAAAAAATACTTTTTCTACGCTCATGTCAGTAAACGTTAAAAATCGCAAGGTCAACGTTCCTTGTAAATGACATTTAACAATAACATGCACGTAATGAGATCTCATAACATATATGTGCGTTCTGATAATAATACTTAAATTTCTTGGTTTAATCAAATTGCAATCAAATTAGTCTCTACGTACGACTTTATTTGGTCTATTTACATACAAAACAAAAACTTTTAGCATTAGCGAGATACATTTTGGATTAAAAAAGTGATGCCCCTAAATGTCGGCAACACATTATGCAATTTTTCAAAAAAAAGTCGCGTTTTCTTAGCATGGAAATAACGTCTTGCCCAGAGATTAGGGACATAAAGATAGGAAACGCAACGACCTCGGCAATAATGGCGTCATCTATGCCTCTCAGATGTTAACTAAAAATATACGTCGTTTGCAGACAGACCAGTGTTGCCAAATATTTTTTTAAGAGATTGTACAAGTAGAATAGAAAATGGTATTTCGACAAAAAAATCGTACAATAGGTACATACATAGCATAATATAGCTTAAATGAAATAAAAAAATAAAAAAAAACTTTGGCATGATAATTTATTTATCTATTTATAAAAAAAAAACTAAAGGAAATACATGAAACTTTAAATTAACACATAAAGTAATCAATGACTGTCACTTGAAAGTGAATGAAATTTTGCATGTAAGCTTTTTTTATGCAGAGATAGTTTGTGTTGGCACAAAATCACCATGGTCAAAATCACGATAAGTGAGAACGAAAATGACTGCCTTCAGAAATTACGAACGGCCTATGAATCTTTGCAAATAGTTTTTGATTTTTATTGTTTTATGTTGAAGTTGTTGCAGATATTTAAATAAACCTACTAAAAAAATGAAGATCATATTTGTACGTACGATCTCACTGATGCAATCGTACATCGTACAGAGAGTTAAAAAATAGAATAAATACGATTTAAATCGTACGGCTGGCAACACTGAGACAGACAGTAGACGTGGACAGCAGTGGACAGTTTGTAAATATAAATGTCAGTTTTATGTATATCGAAGAATCCTGAATTTAAATTTTAAATTTTGAGTTCATGATTGTGTTATCCTCTAGATGAACTAAGCGAAATAGTTGTGGCTGTTCTTGTGTGAAATTCAAGGACAATAATTATATTTTGTAATATTACAATAAGTCGGAGAACGTATTGCATTAGTAACACATGCCACATGAACAAATTTAACAACCCCAATGTGGCGTTCTTTAATTAACCAAAGTAGGTAAGATCTATTCATGTAAATAACACAAATAGTAATCAACTTTCGTCACAAAGTAGGTGTTTACGTATTATTTATTGTTTTAGAACAAGAAAATGGCTTCAAAACTTTAGATAGAAGATTTGATATAGGAAGAAAAATATCTGAATTCCCATTATTGAATTTGCACTCACCATTTTTAAATAAGATACCAAAATAAAAACAAAAATGCCGTGTTACAAATAACAATCAAAAATTAAAAAATATTTGTCATGAATATAGATTTACAATAATTAATCGATAATAGACTGTAAGTGTAGTATTCTTTTTAATAAATAATTTAGCGTAATTACATTGTTGAAGTTTATTTACAAGAACATGAGAGTTCAGTCGATATTTATGCAACCTTTATTATCAGGTTTGTAAATTTCTCGCTGCTTTGTTTGATATCGATGAAAGCGCCACATAGTGGGTCAGATGTTAACTGCGATATAGCTGGTCGTTGGTAAGTATTAGGCATTCCAACGACCTGTCCAAATGGCTACCAGTGGGTAATGACAGTTTAGATATGGCAACCCTGTTGTCATGTTGTCATTAACAGGGTCAATGATACATATATATTTATATAGATTGCTCAAAGCTGGTCGTTTACGAGCGGCCATATTGCCTGGCAAATATTTATTAATTTGAATCGGTTTAGCAAAAATGTGTTTTAAAACCAATTTTTAGCCTTTAGATATTTAAAAAAAATAATTGCTTACATTTTTACTGCAAGGCATACGCTTATGTTTATTTTGAAAAATATGGATAACCAATCTATGTAACTATCTATTTCATTGACCTTGTCAAATCACCAGGCCTACAGGGTTGCCATAATTTTGCCATAACATAACCCGTCAAAACCCACTGGTAGCCATTCAGTTTGGAATGCCTAATAGGCTTCTTATGGGCGTTTCCTATCTTTATCTCCCTTATCTCTGGTCTTGCCATTTATATTGTCAATTTTTGTAACAAAATATTGTTGTATTCGAAAATTTTCTCAACTTTACCTACGAATATGTCTGTTAGTAGTGAAAGTGATGAAATTATGAGCACTTCACCGGAGATTTTAAAAAAGCTCAAGCTGCCACACATAATTTGTTACCGCTAAAATTCAAAGAAAGGTACGAAATTACCTATTGAAAATTTATGGATTGGCAACACAAGCATATTTCCTTTATTTAATAGAAGAAAATAAGTGGGCGTAGAAAAAGTATAGTACGTTACATGAGTTGTAAGCCCATTATGCACTCGTGAAATTTACGCACTCGCCGCTGCGCGGCTTCGTGCGTAAACTTTTTCACTTCGTGCGTAATGGGTTACTTACAACTTTTGTTACTATAATTAATGCACGTATGAAATGGCGTACCTGAAATAAAAAGAAAAACAAATATGAGTAATTAAGTTTACCAAAAGCAGTTTTATATTAAAGAAATTTTTGAAAAGGTGATATTCGTAAACAAAATACTTATTATCCTTTTAATTAACAAGAAAATTATATCAAAATATTGCTTTCAAAAAATATAATTAACACAACGTTAAATTCTCCATAATACAGACAAAGTTAGATTCTCCATCCTGTTGATACTGACCGCAATGCCCAAACTATCGATCGATATGCAAATCGGACCATTACTAGCACATTGACCGCAACCATGGTACGGCGCCCATGGAAAACTGACCACAGTAATCCCACAATAAACGCATACACTGACCGCAATGTATTACGCCATAATAGATAATGTAACTCACTTTACTACTGATAACACCTTGTCCAGAAAAACAAAATATAAGTAAATTGTCAAGTAAGTTTTAAATATTTAATAAAACCCTGTTAATTTAGGATATAATGTTCTTTCAATACTTGACAAAATATCTTTACGTTAGAATTGACAAAATTCACTATTATGAAAACTAGATATCGCTAGTCTTCATATTCACTATAAAAGGTTGGTGGATAATAATTGGGTAATAGAATTTACGAAATAATTTGATTACAAATTAAAACAAAACTAATTGATAAAATATAATTATTCAGTGAAAGAAACTCACCCTATTCAGCAACCAGCCAGTCACAAAAATTATAATTAGTCAGTAAGTTTATTATTATTCGAAATGAACTTTAACTTTGCTCCACACAACTAATTCAAATTTCAAATGATCTTACTTTTATGCCTGCTTGAGATGTTACCCTTAGTTCGTTTATTCATAATCCGATACCTCCGTATCTAAATAGTGTTAACAGAAACATAGGCTGTGACTGTTATGGAAGACAAATATTTCGTGCGTCTAAAAACCGAGTGTAAAATAAAACTTATTAAATTTGTATAGAAAATAAAATAATTCTTACACATAAATTAAGAAATAGGTGAATTTTTATTATTTTGGCTGGATTTAACTTTTTTTAATAAGTACTCGCAAAATTATTTTTCTACATACATGATACATTCCCTATTTAAAATTAAGGGACTGGAGACGTGGAAGGGAGGGGGTTGACACATGACAGATTGTAAAAATATGTTCAATTTGCAATAAAAATAGACCTGTTCTTAAATTTTCTTAAAATCCAATGAATAATGCCAAATAACAGGGTTAAACTATTTTGAGTGGCCCTCTCTGTATATCGTACATGGTTAGATTTATCGAATTATTATTTATTCAACAAAATATTTCAAACAGGCAGTTCCGCTTCCCCGAGAAAAACTCCACTGAAGATGGTATTCTAACCCTTTTATCTAAAATACAGTGAGCACCATAAGTTTTACCCCCCTCCCCCTAACTAACTCGTTACTGGAGTCTTGTTAGGAAAATCGCCGAGATACGTCGATTTTTGATTTCTACAATGTACATTTTTGTATTAATAGTTTACCCTTAATTTCATCCCTTACTGGAGGGGAGCAACCCTTTCGAAAAATTTAAATGACATGGGGTGGTGAGTGATAGCTCATTTGAAAGGGGGTTTTATTCTCTATTCAACCGTGCAAAAAATTTTGAAATTTGCTTCATTACGTGTTGATTTATTAATGTTTAAAAATAACAAAATATCGAAAATAGGAAAGCAACTTAACCAACAGTGACCTTATCTAATGGCAAAAAGTCTTACTTCACGTCTGAACCAAAACAGATAACATGCAGGGCCGAATTTTAATTCTAAGGATGAGTGCGCTACGTTAATTTCCGTTATTCTGAAACAATAATTAGTCGAGAATGAATGAAGCAAATTTCAAAATTTTTTGCACGGTTGAATAGAGAATAAAACCCACTTTCAAATGAGCTATCACTCACCACCCCATGCCATTTAAATTTTTCGAAAGGGTTGCTCCCCTCCAGTAAGGGATGAAATTAAGCGTAAACTATTTATACAAAAATGTACATTGTAGAAATCAAAAATCGACCTGTCTCGGCGATTTTCCTAATAAGACTCCAAAAGCATTCGACACTGTCAGCTACCCACTCTTACTCAATTCTCTCGAAGACAGGAATAATAAATATTTCTCTGACAACGTTTGACAGCTACCCTTTAAATAGCAGATAGTACAAATAAATAGAGTATCAAATAATCCTAATTTAAGTATGGTATTCCACAAGGTACAGTACCAGGGCCCACACTTTTCAGTATTTATAAAAATGAATTCTCTTTTATATCTGTTTTGCAGATGATACAGTTATTTTCTACTAGTCAAAAGTATGAATTTAAAATTAAAGAAGAAACTGACTATTTAAATATAAAAAACTGGATGGATCATTTATAATTTAAATAACACTAATTACTTAGTCATAAATCTAGTGCTTGTGATTGTCTATCCTTCAATAATGACATCCCTTGTAAGGAAACTTATGCAATTAAGGTTGCAAAAGCAGAAAAATAATTATGGGTTACGATTGACTCAAACCTTAAATGGACAGATCTTATAATTAATAAAAAAACCATAATTTCTTTCATACAAACACCGATTTCTAAAAAAAATATTACCTGTGCTACAACTACTTGTCCTTTATTATGCCCTCGTGGAAAGCCACTTGCGCTATGGAATAACATGCCAGCAAAATCTCGTACAAAACGAGTAGAAATCCTATAACAAGTATTTTTAAAAGCAATATAAGGCAAAAATTCTAGATACTCAACTGAAAAACTACCTATTTGAAGATACAAAAATATTAGCTATTACAATATTATTATAAGGAGTCATCCACAATGTTTCTAAAGTAAAATTCCAAGCGTAAAATTATTTTTAAGTTACAGTTTGGATTTAATTCAGGGCTTCGCGTAGTTATCACGGACATGACTCGTATATATGTCTTTGTCAGTCATGTCCAACTGTATAAACATGTTTTGTGGATCTATTTTTACTATTTTTAATGCGTTATTTATTTCAGCGTTATCATGGAATGTTTGATACTACCGCTACAAGAAAAACTGGAAGAATGGAAAAAGATTGTCCTAAATTTAGACAAGGACCATGCAAGAGGTTAGTTATAAGACTTATGTCCAAAAACTAACTACTTCAGATAACTATTTCATGTACTTATTTTATTTAGATTACAAACGAGCCAGGTCAGAGCTGAAGAAACGATCGACAGACACACTGAGGCTTCAAAAGAAATTAAAAAAGGGCGTCGGCGGTGATGTACAGAAGCGATTCGAGTGCGGATTACAAGACGTCACCGAAAGACGTCAGTTACTTGAAGAGACCGAGAAACACGCCGCCAGGGCCGCTTTAATCGAAGAAAGAACGAGGTTTTGTTCGTTCGTGGGGTTACTGAAACCCGTCGTGGTAAGTGTCGAAATTCATTGTAAGCTTGTATCTAAGAAAAGAATACTTACATTTGGCGCCTTCGGTTCGGAAATTACTCGGGCGCCAGTTTTACTATTATGGTTTGCTCCACATCATTTTGATACGGCGTCAAAATGTCTCTAGTAACCTCAGTTGGAGATTTCTAAGACGTTAATAAAGGGCTTTAATCGTTTCGGTTTACAGGACGAAGAGATCGCCATGCTGACGGAAATGGGACACCTACAAGAGGCCGTGCAGCAATTGGAAAAGCACACCAATGATCCCAAAACTTTACCACCTGCTTCCGAGCAAGTTATCGCCGATTTAAAGAGTTCGGATAGCGGTTGGTCCTTTCAGACACCGCCGTCATCGCCGTCGAGTCTCGGCTCGAGAAAATCTTCTATGTGTTCTATCAGTTCGATTAACAGCTCGTCTTCGGGTAGCTCAAAGAGCCATCATTCTCCCAGCCATCCTTGGCAGAGGTCGTTGTCTCAGGTGAGTTTTATTCGGTTACGCAATCGTAGATTGAGATGTTGCATGTATGTTGCACAGTGTTCGTGTCATTTGTTTTGGACGGTGTCTTTGTAAGAAGTTCGAGGGTTGATCCATATGTTACAACATAATCTTTCTTAGTCATAATGCACTTGTTCTAGCGATGTACTAGCATGTCAAGAGCATCAGAGAATACATTTTCTCAAACTATTAATTTACAGCATAACATCGTCGTTATTTGAATTTGCTTCTACGCAAATGTTCTTTCAATTTCGGAAAATCAATTCAATTTGTCTTACTAGGGCGGAAAAACTCTGTGTATCCATGTTTACAGGTACAGATGTCCAATTCTGAGCAATAATTCGGTTTCATCAGTCTTTTAAGACATTCACAACCTTCAGAGTTCTTCTAGTTTCTTTCAGAATACTCTAGATAGAGTATTTTTAGGCAAGTCAGAGAGGTTTTTTTAGACACAATTCAAAAATCACTTCAATTCATCACAGTTTTTCAGACATTCCAACGCATAGATGTTCTAAAGCTTTTGAAGCTCATTTAGAGTATTTTTAGATGTTCGCGAGTTCCTTTCGAGTTTCCAGACATTTCAAATTATTTTCAGATATTTTATTTTATAATTTTTCTAGACACTTTCTAATCTTTTCAAGCAATACACTAATTAATACAGTGTCTCATCACGGAAATTATAATCTTATTTTTTTTTGTGTCATCGGCGTCGACTACTACGGCCATTAGCCTAATGTTCTGTGTAGGCTTTGTTACTGTTTCCCAGCGCCACTTTAGGAACAGCACTGTTAATTAGAACCCAACAGTGAATGGTCGAGTGGGGAATCCTACCAAGGCATCAGAATTAATTTTAAATAATTAAATTAAATGAAAAAATCCCGGCCAACGGTGGGATTCGAACCTGAGACCTTCCGATCTCAAAGTCATGACTCTAACCACTGAGCCAACCCACCCCTCTATAATCTTATTAGTTCCTTTTGAGAATTGACATGGACAACCACTGATCTGTAATAGCACAACTATCCAATTCAAAGAATATTCTTAGTTTTACCAGTTTTTTAAGAAACTGCGTCTCTTGAGTGCCTCTTATGAGTTAAACATTAAGTACACGTTCGCTCTTCGTTAACAAATGTACACACTTGTGCTACGTTTGAATTTCCACATCCGATGCATTTTTTACATCTCGAGCGTTTGTTTATCCACATCGAACACATCTTTCCTACTATATTACGTATATTGAATCATGTGATCAAAGATTTACAATATCTCAGATGATCCGATGTGGATATTCAAACGCAGCATTGGTAGATTAATGTTAACCACTAAAATATTCGACACTTTTTGATATAAAATGAGTCAAAATGTTCATAGTAACCAACAACTAGGATTTTTATAGAATTTATCATAACAATTTGAAAAATATTTTTAAACAAACGATGAAACAATTATATCAAAATAAAATAGATTGACGCTGGTAGTAATTCCTAGTTGAGACGTTAATTTAAATAACTAAGCGGCGCATTAGTAATGACGTAATAAATAAGCCAAACAAATTTGTTTATAACTAAATTTGTGGTTGAAATTTTATTGTTTTATTAGAGTGATTTTAAGTATAAATATATTCCTAAAGTAAGTAGTCTCTAATACAAATAAAAATAGATTTTAGGTGTCAACTTATTAAGAGAAAATTTAAAATTTCATTACGATTTTTAGCAGTACTAATTTAAAAAAGAAGGTAAAATATATAATACAGATACTGTATCTATATTTGAAATAATATTGATTTTTTTATAGTAACTATCGCTATGTTATTCTGAAATAATTAGACTATCAAATTGAGAATAAATTTTAAATCAAGTAGAATATTCCGTTCAATAATGGTTTTTGAATGATTTATTAGTATCGTTAAGTTTCATTTTGTGAGTTAAGAGATATTTATTGATATTAAACAGAAATATTCTTAAAAATTGTGCTTTTCCTTTTGCATATGGATACAGGTTGGTATTTAGAGTTAAATAACCTCTATACCTTAGTTTCTTCATTTCCCTCAATATTGCCCATCTAGGACAGCGAGGTGATTCTTAAAAATACCAGATGTCAAAAAAAATCACGATTTACTGACTGGAGTGTGTTCTCTGAAGACCTTCCTTTACGTAATTAGAGCATCTTGACTCTCAAGAACCAGGTCCTTAGGGTGAAAAAACTGCCTTCACTCACTTTCTGCTTAAATATTACTTCCAGTAGGTATAATTCACCGTGAAACATTTTTTTTTTATAATATACGGGGTAATGCATTACTTTGATTTTTCCGTTATTATTAAAAAAAAAAAAATTGCCAAAATTTGAGGCTGCCTTAAACTACGCATTTTAACATTATTTTGATACCTACAGGGTGGTTTATTTTTCTAGGAACATATAATTTGATTATTCGTAAATTGCTTGTCTTGCCTACATCTTTTATGGAAATTGTACTATATTTTTTTTTAGAAATTATATTTTTGGTTGCTATTAATACGTGTATATTATTTTTTCTATTTGTATCTATTATTTTACTACTCTTATGATTTTTTTTATTATTTATTTCTTGTTTGTTTATTTTTGTTTTGTTTTCTTCACCAAACAGCCAGTAGGTCGTAGTGGTACAATGCGTGTTAGATCTGTCTCGAGTCAGGATTCTGGTTTTATGTCACAAGATACACTTTTTCCACGACCCCCGTCAGCATTCAGTGCTGCACAGGTAAGACCAGTAAATAGCAGTAGATAATTGTTATTTATGTATTTAGTTGTACAAATTTGTAATTACACGAAAATAATGCGTCACTTGGACCGCACACAAAATTACTTGTAAAGTTTATAACAATTTATGAAAGGTTTTGACGGTTTATAATATATTGTATATATTGACATGCATGTGACATTTTTTATGTTTGCAGTAACTTTTTATGTTTGACGTGACATTTTCGACGTTTAACGTTACCAGCACAAGTTTTTTAGCTATGTCGGGATTGCAGATTCCATTCATGAAGTTACTGATTTTGTCTGGTCCAAGTTATGTGTTATTTATTTAATATTCAAGCACTTGCATTGTATCTCGTACTGAAAACGCAAAAAAATGTATAATTTATTTTTAGGTATCAAATATGTCTGAGCACAGCAACAACAGCAGTAGTTCGAGTACCCCTTGTACCCCGTTTCCGGTTAGCGCCGCCCCCACAACGACAGCTACTTGGCCAAATTTACAAGAAACTATGCAATTCGAAAGGGCTGCTTCAGCTATCATTAATGACAGACCTCATACTATTTCATCAGGTAAATTTAAATGGTAAACCGTTATTGAGTTTTTCGGTTTCACAAGAATCAGTGTTGGGCCTTCTTTTTTTTTAATGCTTTTATATAATTACATGTTTCTTTTCAGCTTACGAAAAAGGCCATCAAAGGCCTCCTTTGACTGTATACACATTCCAAGCTCCAGAACAAACTCTATCGCAACCAGCTAGTCCAGTGACTTCAACTCCGACCGATACTACATCGAATATTGTGCCTCCTAAGAGTCCTGCTGCATCTATCAAATCTCTTTCTAAGCCACCCTTACCTATGGTACGTTTCAAATTATCTAAATTATCCTTATCTCTTAATTAATTGGGGGCGGACCCGTTTCAAGAAGGGTATACAAAAGCAAGTAGCAGAAATTAAGGTTATATTTGTATTTATTTTTTTGCAGAGATGTTCGTCCCTGGAACGTCCGAGCGGTCCTAACGTTCCCGCCAAAACGATCGCGCAAGGCGTAAGAGTGTTGCCGCCAGGCGCCGCCGATTTGTCCGTCATCAAGAAACCGTCTCCATTGCCAGCTCATTTAGCAAAAATTGCACCGCAACCTACGTACGCGAATATGCACGAACTAATGATGGCGGCGGCCAGCAAGACTCAAGAGAAGAGCTTTCCGCCGCCTCCCGTGGAATTTACTAGTCCCCCTGATAAGGTAACGTCAATAAAACTTGGTATAACGTTAATGACTTTGGATAACCAACATATTAACCAAACGCGAACCTTGGGAAACTCTGGAGATAATAGAGAAATTGTTAACTGAAGATGTTTGAATGTAGGATTTTTCTTTCTCTTTTGTTGGGTTTATCCAGAAGAAAACAATTTTAACAGGTTTTCGTATTTCAGCCCAATGAAGGTGAAAAAGAAAGCAGCACCAGTGAAAGTTCCTTAGAATCTTCCAGCGGGTATGGCAGTCAAACTACGTTTACATTTGATGACGTGCACCATCTAGAAAGTAAGTTTTTTTAATGATTAAACTTTGACTCTTTTGAAAGCTAGAGTTTAAAAAAGTGTTTCAAATATTTCATTGTTTTTTAAAGACATGGGTACCGGTACTTTACGCAACACCCTCCTGAGACGAGGATCCATTCAAAACCAAAAACCCCCACCGCCTATTAGAAGAACTTCTTCGATAACTAACACGTCTTCCATGGGTAGCTTGGAGAACTTGCCTCCACCTCCGGCTTTTTTGTTGGAACCCAATGGACAAGCAGCTTCCCAGAAACCGTCGGCGGGTAAGTAGAATAGAAATAATAGTTCAAAATTGGCAAAAAGAAACCACTACGTCATCTCTTATTTTAGGCATAAACGTAGCAGAAACAGTAAAAGCGCTCACAGAACTAAACCACACGCCAGCTAGCCCCAACTCTATAAGACGCATGTCCTCTTCCTCCCAAAACTTGTATCAAACTTCCCAAAATTTGCATCAGCAGCAGCCACTTTCCCAAAATCAATATCAATCTTCCTCGCAGTACAATCAAGGACCGATTTTTAGCACGTTTCAAAGCCAGTCCAAAGTATCGTACGTGTCTCAATCGGGCGGTGTCGTTTACGCTCAACCGATGCAGATCATGGGCGGCAGCCCGAACGCCATTAGGAGGATTCATAATATGAGGTCTCAAAGTGCCGATCGGAAGTCTGACGGTAAGAATTCAATAAATTTAGTTAGAGTGAAGTCCGTTCCATTAGCGGAATCAGAGCTAATAAAACTATATTAGATAATAGACAAAAAACTATAGCTTTTATAGTCGAACACGATTGGTTAGGAGTCCTAGCAGTATAGATATAGACTTGTATTGTTTCGGTTCTTCATTCAAAAGAAGACAAAAAAGGACCATTTAAAATTAGTTGGGATCTCTAATACATTAAACACAAAACGTACATGCAAAACAATAAAAATATTAGCATGATATTTATCACTTAATGTTAATGTTTTCGCGCATTTCGCTCAAAATGTTAAGAACAAAAAGCCATAGTTTTAAAAAGCACCTTCCTAATAATAGTGTTTGGGGTCGCAGGTTGAGTATGGCTGCTCTAGATGATTCAACGAAAAATTTTCGAAATTTATCGAATCACTTCGTTTTCTAAAAGTAAACTAATCGAGTTACTATTTTTTGAAATATTATAAAAAAGTTAAATAATGTTTTTTTGAACTAGCTAACTTTATATTTAATTTTTAACCGACTTCAAAAAAGGAGGAGGTTCTCATTTCGTTGGTATATTTTTTTTATATATGTTCAGCGATAATTCTTTAACACGGTGTCCGATTTCAATGATTCTTTTTTGTTAGAAAGTGGTGGTCCCATATAACTTTGGTTTAGATGTGATGGCATCTGCACGATTTTGAAGTCGGTTTTTTAAAATTACTTTTAATACTTGTATGAATCTATAAAATAAAATTACGTAATTTGGCTTGGATTTGATCGTCGACCATAGTTTCCTTAAAAGTAAAAAAACGATATTTTTAAGTTGATTTTTTTTAAAATTATTTTTGCCGGGATCTGTCCAGTAAGTTGTTATTTTAAGGAAGATTTTGTTTCGTGAAATTTAGATTCATAATTTGCAAAGAAAAAACAAAACGGTCTCAAAAAATTCGTACCTCTTGTGGTATTAGGTATTACCCTTGATAATTAGCGATACTAATCATACTTTTTAAAAAGTCCATCATTTACAAAGTCTTCAGCCAAATTTTGCTGTTCATATGTTGCAATAATTCGGTACTTACCAATTATTTGACTAATCTTTTTAAAAATATTGTTTCATTCATTTTTAGAAATTTAAATATAAACATATTTTTTCGAGAAATTACTATTCAAACAATTTATATCAAATAAAAAAAATATTCAAATAAATAATGTCGAAAAAATTTCGTAGAATCCTCTAAGATAGAATAATATACAATAATTATATTTTATTTTTTATTTCTTACAGGTCCGGGTGGCGTTAGTTCCAACTTCATAGCTTCGCTTAGCGCTAAACTGACGCCTACTTTAAGCCCCAAATCTTCACGAAGACTTTCGGAAGACCGCACGCCTACTAATTCTCCTATTAATAAGTATCCGCACCAGAAAGCCGGTCCCGGACAAAGCTTCCTGGACTCTTTGAATGCCAAACTTGCCCAACAACATACTGTGAGTCCTCAGCCGACGCAGCTTAAGGCCACCAAGATAAGACAGATTATTAACAGTAAAGCTCAGGTAAAGTAGAACTCAGAAATATAATTCAGAGGCTCCGTATAATATTAGGGATGTCGGAATTTTGAAAAAAAAAAAAATTGATATACTAAAAAGTATTCATTTTATATAGTAAGTTTCTATAAAAATTGAGGAAAATCTATGAATTTCTAGGAAAAATTGAATTAAAAATTGTACATGCTCATTTACTGTAAAAATTGGGCATTTTATTTCTTTCCAAAAACTTTAGACGTCTTGAATAGCCTTTAATTAACAAAATTTGTTGTCAGAAACATCTAGGTTAGTTTTGTCCAGTCACTACCTAGCTTAGTTTGACATTGCAGGACAATTCAACCGTTGTCAAGATGCGCAATATTTCTTAAATAAAAGGAATTCCTAAACCGTTTTTCTAAAGAAATATAAGTCCCATCAATAAAAACACAACTAGTGCGAAGCACAAGTTATATTTTTCAAATGGCAATAAATAACTGATAGATGTTTGTATTGAAAGACATTTGTTTCCTAGTTATGGTAGCCCATTTTGCTTATTCATATTTCAGTCGATCAACTTTTATATAAAGAACATTTTTTTATGTACAAAACTTTATAAAAAAAAAAATTAGTAGAACACGTTTCGAAATTCGCGCGCACCATATAGATGGGTTAGATTAGATAATTTATGCCGCGTTTGAATATCCACATCGGATGCATCTGAGATGTTGTGAATTTTTTATCACGTGATAGAGAATTAGATCTGAATGTATGTAGATGTAATAAACAAACGCTCTAGACTTTATTGGTCACGTGATAAAATTACAATGACAAGTTAGAAATTTATATATTTTTTATTTGACTTTTGTGACTAAAAATCAACCTAAATTTGAAATCTAAACAAAAATTAAACACACTATTCACTTCTCTATTCACGCTAACATAAACAAAGGATAAATCAATAATCTTGGCTTCACAGAACATCTACTTTCTGACATGGAACGAACATCTCATTCGGAAATTTTCGACTCGAATTTGATATCAAACTCCATAATTGCAATTCCGTTCAACGAAATTCGACAATAAACTCGATCAAATAACTCGATAGCTCTAGAGTAGTTGATTCGATATCAAATCATTAAAGTTGGATTTTTTGACATTAGGTATGAATATGAAGACTAGAGGTAAGGAGGCGAATCGGCATGCTCAAAATACGGTCCCAAAAATCACACGTCAATTGAGCTTTTATAATTAACCACATGGGCGCTGGTACGGTTTACGTAGTTCAAAATACATGGCTTCTTATGGGAATTATACATAATTTTGTCAAAATAATAAAAATAAACTTGTTTACAGCTAAATAAAGCACAGAACATACTGATTTATTTCCAAATGAGTCTTGCATGTTTTAATTGAGAAATTATTTAATTTTATCTATATAAAATACAATTTTGGTATGTATGACCAAATTCGAAAAGGTTTCTTAATTGCTGAAATTTGATAAGTACAATTTTGTGGCAATTTTTTTTTTGAATTGAACCAATATATAGTTTTAAGAGTAAAATAAAACACAGTTAACAGATTTTTTATTGTTGTAATACGAGTATAAAGGGAGATTTGGGAATGTACATGGTATTACCTCATCCTTTAATTTCAGCTCTTCCCTTTTTATTTTGCTAACAGTACCATTAGTTAAAATAGTCTCATCAAATTTTAAAATATCATCTTCTAAAAAGTGTAGCTCGCAAACAGAATCATAACTAGACAGTACTTTATCAGCTCTAGGAATCACATGCTGCCATTGTTCTAAATGTTTAGGATCCTATAAAAAATATTTGCGATGACTAAATTGAAGTTCAATAAAGAAAAATAACAGTAGTAACTCTTCATCTAAAATCAAAAAACATAAAAAAAGCAAATTTTCTTTTCTAGTAAGTTAAATTTAATGTGTAATTATTGTTGTTTTTAAGTCAGGATTTATGACTTTATTATTTTTTATTATAAAATTTTATAATTAAATAAACTACACTCCGTAAGATACGGGTTGTGACTATTTTACAATAAATATATATTATTTAGAAATAAATACATTATTTTACTTACACTAGGAACTTTAAAAAGACTTGGATTTTTATCTCCTTGTGATTTCTTTAATTTTATATCGGATTTATATCCCGTTTTTCAACCCGAAACGAAGAAATCCTGCTTTTCCGTTTTTTGTTACTCATTGTTACTTGCAGTCAGGTTCTTTATTTCAGCTTATTTTTATTCTTTTCACTAAATTTTACAAAAATCACTTTAATTCCCATTGAATTGCATAGAAAATAGACGTCGTTATTTTGCCACCCGCCAACTACAGTAGTTTTTTGGAACTCCATAAAAATAGGGACGGAAATTTGAAATTTGACCAAGGCCGATTCGCCTCCTTATATCTAGTCTTCATAGGTATGAACCTTTCCTGTAGGAATGTGCCTTTTCTGAATAACCTCTCCTGCATTAAGGGCCTTATTTTTTCTATTAGGTATATACTGGGTCATTACTATTTCATAGTGACAGTATCTGTATCTGTAACGTGTGTAGGGTGGGTTAACCTATGGCACTTAGGCATCACTATGCCCATTGTGCATCCTCCTAATTAGATAGCTACCTACTAGCTCGTGAGGGACAGTATTGCTATTTCTTAAACGGTAACAGATAGAAAAATGATTAAATTTGACAAAGTTGCGCAGTTTTGTGCTTATTAAAATGGTGGCAGAAAACATTTGATATCTACAAGGAAATTCAAAATATCGGACAGAAACGAATGAATGAATTTAAAGAAATACCAATTTTAATTTTTTGTCCGATATTTTGAATCTCCCTCTAGATATCAAAGGTTTCTTGGCACCATTTTAATAAGCACAAAACTGCGTAACTTTTCTCTTATTTAACCAACCCTCTATCTGTTAGCGTTTAAGAAATATCAATACTGTCCCTATGAAATAGTAGGGACTCTGAATACTACTTGAAACATCAATAAGAGGTTTCATTAATTACATAAAACTCTATAAAATATAAATAAATAAAGATAGGTAATCTTTATTCAGCCAAAAAAGCTATCCACAGCGATTTTCAGAGAGTTTGAAAGGATCGCTTCTTTCCCTTAGGTTGTTCTTTTTTTAGCGCAAAGGGCAATAATATTAAATAATAATCTTTTTACAATTTACCCCATTACGAGTGATCCCTGCAACTCTGAAAGCATAGCTGGTATTGGGGAGGGACAACCGTATTATTATTATTTGCCATGGCGCTCCAATGGAACTTACAGATGGTGTCTTTAACTTATAGATGAGGATACCCAGAAAAAACCCCAACCATCACCATAAAAAAATAAATAATTAATTAATCTTATGGCTTATGGCTAAACCAAATACAATACAATTTAATTGTTGTTGGGGAGGGACGACTATTATTATTTTCCATGGCGCTCCGAGGCAACTTACAGATGTCATTTGAATTATAAATGAGAACACTTCGGAAAAACCCCATCCATAAGAATAAAACCTAATAAATAATTCAACGTCAAGGCTAAAGAAATACAATTTAAGTTTTGTTATTTGATGTTTAAAAGTCAGAATAGTTCGAATGCTTCATTATTTTGTCGAATTTCCGAAGATTTCTGAATTCAAAACAGATCGAGTAATAGAATGGCTTTTTCTAATTCGATCGAATTATGAATCGAGTTACTCGACACAGAACGGAATATCACGACTTTTAACGTCAAACAACAACAATTAAATTGTAATTATTCATTAGTTTTTATACTTATGGGTGGGGTTTTTCCGGGGTATCCTCATCTATAATTCAAATTTACATCTGTAAGTTGCCTCGGAGGGCCATAGAAAGTAATAATAGTATTTCCTCACCGGGCACAAACAATTCTGCATTCAGAGTTGCAAGATCACTTATAATGGGTTGAATTATAAAAATATTTATTATTAGGCTAAAGAAAGGATGAGCTACAAAAAAGAAACGATCCTTTGGAAATTCCTGGAAATCGTCGTGGAGAACTTTTTCAGCTGAATAAAGAGAACCTATCAATGTTCATATTTTGTATCGTTTTGTATAATAAATAATCCTTTTATTGATATTCTAAGAATATAAAAGACCTCTGTTGCACGATAAGTTATCCAGAACAGGAATTGCCAGAGACATAGGTATGCCCTGGAAACTAAATTACTTTCTACCCTAAAATTTTAAGCCACAGGCTTATTATTCAGCAACATTGACAGGTCATACCTAATGTCAAAATAATCCAACTTTAACGATTTGATATCGAATCGACTACTCGTTAAACGGAATTGCTTTTATGGAGTTTGATATCAAATTCGAGTCGAATCGTGAAACGGAATCTCACCCCTGGACAGCTACATCTCGGATAAACAAACGTAGATGTAGTAGATGTGTCCGATGTGGATAACCAAATGCTCGAGATATAAAAAATGCATCCGATGTGGATATTCAAACGCGGCATTAGTTAGTTAATTATTTTATTTATTTTTTATTGTACCGTAGATTAGCTTTTTAAAACAAAAATAAACAGTCATTATCTAATTTGACCCCTTTATGATTTTAAAAACTAAGCATACATACACTTTTGTAGGTATCGGTATTACCAAAGAATCTATTGCAAACAAAAAGGTCCATTTGTTGCTGAAATGAATGATGCAATTTTTTTTTTAATAAAATATATACATTGTCGTAGGCCATTTTTAAATATAAAATCGATTTTACGAATTATTGTCAAGTCAATTTTTGATGAATATAGTTTAACTCATTTATAAAGATTTTCCTTAACCTACTTATTCTTATTTTTCATGCAATTAACATATAAATAATTTATTAATGTTGATATTCACGTATTTTTCTTGTTACTAAATGAACTGAAACTATTGGCAACACTGTATGAAAATTACAAATATTAGGTTAAAAACATCAAAATATTGCAAGTTTTTGTTTAAGTTTTCTTGGAAAATTGTTAGTCTTGCATTTTTTTTTTTAAATATTTAGATATATGGTATGAGAACTTCTTAGTGTTCAAACATTTTTTTTTAAATTCCGGCATTAATGGTAAAATCCGAGTTTCACAATTTCGGAACTATCGCTCTCTCTTGCAAACGGTATCTACTGTATTGAAATATTATCTTTACACTAGGAATATTATCTTCGAGTCGATGTACAAAATTTCCTTTTTTTGTTCTATTTCGTTTTTTTTTAACTTCTTCAGTTTCCTTCACTTCTGTATTTCCATTTTTATTTTCAAACCTTTGTTTCGCGTTATACATTAAACTTTTCTATATTCGATTGGTGTTAAATGTACCATAGATGAATCCTTGTCCATTTTTTTTTGTACAGAATAATAATTACAGTTTATAAACATAAAATCGTTACAATAAGCTTGTCGATATGAACATTGCTTGTTTTTACAGCCACCGTTTGACCGCAACGAACAGTTTTAGGTGAGAAAGGTTTACAATTTTTCAACTTTGACACATTAATACCATTTTAACGGACATGTTTTAATATTACGAATTTTATTCTGCATACGATTTTGGACAACAAGTTTATGAAATTGATTTTATTAACCATCTATTTACCTCACAACAATATTAACAATTTTGTGTTACAAATTAAAACGACAGGTTTAATCGACTATAATAATAATAATAATAATAATAATAATAAAAAAAAAAAAATTATTAGTCTATAAGAAATTTTACCATTTACAAAGTACTTCGACAAAATTTTGCCATTCAGTTATCAGTGTTACCACTGGAGGTCTAAGAAATAATTATTAAAGTTGAAAATGTCTTCTATGCATCGTGACGTGACCCAATATCCAGATAATTTAAATTTTGTTAAACTAAAATAAATAAACACGAAGCCCTTTACAACATAATACTAGCAACCGTTTCCCCTAAGAAAACAACTACTTCTTTGGCTAATACAGTAGCAGGTATTGAATTATATCCAAAGGAAAGACAGCAGAGATATAAATTAAATTTCAATACTCTTTGATTTTGCTTACTAAGGAGAACGTCATTCTTGGACTGGTTTCGTCCTTATTAGGACGCTTCAACAAGAAATAGATGGCTCTCAATTACAGTTTCTAATGGTGCTATTTTTTGAGAACTATTTAGAACCGAAGATACATTGAACTCTAGATACCTTCCCATTGCCTTTTTTCCCATTGTTCTTAAATAAACAAAAATCTTCCACTTTTTTTTCTACCAGATCTACCTTTTTTCCCCATTTTTAGTTTTTATTTGAATAAATTCACTTTAACCAAACCAAAAACAGATATTCTGAGAAAAACATAACCTCACTATTTTGTTAATAAGGTGGCGGTATTTTTCAGCATAATAAAAAACTTATTTTTTTTTTAATTAAAAAAAGTACTTGGAAAAACTTTTTTGCAACACTGTCTACGATTGTGAGAATAAACACAAATGTTTTAAAAAATATTCGCCTTCTGGATATAATATTTGGCAACGGTAAACAATGTGTAGTTATTTTATAGGTTGCTTTTGCGAGGGAATAACACGCTTCTGAAATCACACTCGACTGAATTACAATAACCGGTACACAATTGAATCATAATTCATAAGAAAAACAAAAAAAAGATAAACACTTATGTCAACTTTTAATACACGGATTTATATTTTTTTTATTTGTGTATCTTAGTGTTAAGTTTTTTGAAAAAATTTATTTGAAAAAGATGGTTATTTTAACGACTTCTATACACAGTTACAACAGGATTTACCCTGTATATGAGTTCCTTATTTACGAAAATGAAATATTTTTTGTACAAATTTTATCACAATAACCTCAGCAGACTTGAAAATAAGGTTATATTAGGAAAAAACGAGGTAGGCAAACCTGATTTTCGTCTATAGTAAACATGTTTTATGAAAATAAGTAATAAACTGTATGTTGTGTTGGGAATGGGGTGTTAATACACTGCGACCTAAAAGATCTATTGTGTCCCCTTCTGTCACCAATGCACCAAGGAAATGTCTCAATGTCTATAACGACCCTTCCAATCCTATCTTCTCAAGGAAGTGTAGGATTTGGAGTGGCTTCAAGTTAGGTAAATCTCCCTCTTTTATTTGATATCCTAGATATAGTGCCCTTGGATTCTGGAGCGCTACACATTCAGTTAGAACGTGAATGGAGGTTTCGTTCTCCTCCTCACATAATCTCCACTCACTATCCGCTATTACTCTCAGTTTACTAAGGTGTCCGTTTAGTCGGCAATACCCGATAAGGATCCCTGTTACAATACGTAGCCTGTTCTTGCTCAGGCAGATGCAGGCTTCCGATCTTTTCTGGTTATTGTTCACCCAGAAGTATCTGTCTCAGCCCCAAGAGATTGTTCCAATTAACGGTTATTCTACTGCCCAATTCTTTTTTAATCTCTCCTAATATAATGTTACTGCTGATACCGCAGAACGGCTCAGGTCCTACAAAAGGTGTTTGGGCCCCTTTCCTTGCAAGACTATCTGCAATCTCGTTACCCTATACCCCGTTATGTCCCGGGACCCAAGTGAGAGTAACTCTATTTTTCTCGCCTAGCTCATTCAATTGATCTAGACATCTCCAGACCATTTTTGAGCTGATTACGTAAGAGTTCAGCGCTTTGATGGCTGCTTGGCTATCGGACATGATGATAATCTCTTGTCTATGATAGTTTCTCTCGATGTTAAACTGGATACACTTCTCGATGGCATAAATTTCCGCATGGAAGATGCTTGGGTATTTTCTCATTCTTTCGGAGTGCTTGGTTCTCGGCCCATACACTCCTATTCCAGTTCTTCTATGGTTTTGGAACCGTCCGTATACCACTGAATAGCATGTCTTTCGGTTTCAAGCGCGATGGATTCTTGGATTCATTTTTTCTTGCAGCCCAGCTCTGTGGTTCTGAAGTTTTTCACAAAACTGTACTTCTTTAGCATTTCATCCTGGAGCATGTCCCAGGTATCTTTAGTCCTGAAGCAAGTAGAATTTCGTCTAATTACTACGTTCCTGATCATTCCATATCGTGTCCTTTTTGCCACATTCTCTATCATCAAATGTAGAGGGGTGAAGTTTAAGATCACCTTCATTGCGGCCGTAGGACAGGTTCTCATTGCACCGGTGATGCAAACAAAGATTAGTTTTTGTACTTTTAAGATATTAGCTCTCGTAGTAGCTAAACTAGTTCTGTTACTCCAGGCTATAGCCCCATAAGTGATGATTGGTCTCACTATTGCAGTATACATCCATCACAGTATGCTTGAGTTATATCCCCATCGTTTAGACACAAAACAACTGAATATTCTTTGAAAATAAGACAATTAAACGAAACATGTTTAGATGAGGTTTAGATAAAATATTACTCCGAAATACAGGGTGTTAGAGTTGAAAATTAAAAAAATATTAATGATTATAATTTTTTGATTTCTCAGTATAATTTTACTAAATTGAGCAAATATTTTTGGTGTTACAAGATACGCCTATCAAAATTAGCTAAACAAACTTTGCCAGTGGGTGAAAAAAAAATGTTGCACACACAGTAACACAATAATGAATTCGACCAATCCAGGAAGCTTTTGTCCTTGTCATGTGACGACACTTTGCCTTTAAAGGTACCATTCGGGATCGCGAGACTGAGACAGGCGACAAACGACCGCGTAAAGCGACCAAAATGTGTTTCTTACGTTTGAACACATGTAATTATATGAAAAACATTTGAAACAAAGCGACCAATGTACGAGAGGCGACAGCACTTTTAACACGGCCGTATTTGCGTCTTGCTGACTATCGTTTGTTTCGGTCTCGCCTTTACAAATGTTACCTTAAGTTGAACGTAGTATAGCGAGCTTCCTTGCTTTCTAAGCGACGATGAATTCCAAATATGATACAAATTCTTCTATAGTCGATTAAACGTATAGAAAGTTATTAATTTGAAGCAGTTTCATTACTTAATTGTCCAATTTCGTACGGAATAACCAGCTTTTGAAGTGAACAACTAAACTCGTCTAATATTTGTGCACTAACTTTTTTAATTAGCTTATTTTGGTTTTACCAGCTTATGATGTCATGCTAACTAGTAAGTTTGCGCTGTTTGAAGAGATTCCCGTTCATTTTCTAATGGTTTTGTTGAATGTTAAGTTTAGTTTTGTGCAAAATCTTAATTTACTTTTGCCAAAAATGCTTTTTTACATTTATACAAGTATTGATTGTGAAGAATTGTTTTTTTTTAAAGGACTGACGTGGGTCGAACGTGACAGATTCTACAGTACGGCGTGCGTCGTTCACCGTTCTATCAAACTCAGTTAATGTTTTGAAAATTGTTTTTTTTTTTTTTCAGCCCGATCCAAAAGTATGTCACGAATCGCTGATGGATCAAATCAAAAGGGGGGCGACTCTGAAACGAGCTAAATCAACAAACGACAGATCAGCTCCGAAGATCTGTTAATTATTATTCCTTCTCTTTTTCCTATGTAGTAAGAACAGGTTTGTTATCAGCATATCGGTTTTATATCATTTTTATTCATCTCCCAATTATCACTGTATCGCTTAAACGTTTATTAAGTAATAATGGGCAAATGTTTATTATTTTATAAAAATGGAGCATTCATTACTAGTTCATTTTTTTCTAAACCAAAAATATTAATTTATTATGTAGTGATATTTATTAATATTATATTTGTTTTTAAAAATCGGTTGGGTTGGTATATGTTTTGACATGTTTCTAACTTTGAAATTATTTGATATTTAACAATATAGAGGTTTTCATACTTGTGAAGACTAGGCGTAAAAGTTGACAATGTTTCATATATGCTTTATTTTCCTATATTTACTCTAGTCTGGTGATAATGCAAACCAACATATGATTTTATCAGGTAATACCTTTTCATTTCCAATTAAACAACCTAAATATATTTTTAGATAGTTATCAACCCATTTGTGTTAAGTAGACGACGTCAATGTCAAACGTCAGAGGTCAGGAAACACGTTAAAATGTCACGTCACGCGTCAAAATATCTGTCAAACGGCAGAATTATTACGTCAAATGTAAAAATCTAAATTTGTCAAAATATATTTGCCCAACCGGCAACAAGCTTTCTGCGAGGCTAACTCTAAAATATTACCATTTTTTTTTTATTGTCGAAAAAATATATCTTCAAATTCAGATTAGTTGCTTTTTCAATTCAACAAAGTTCAATTAGTATTAATGAAATAGTGCTGACACTTAGTGACGTCCATTTTTTACATTAAATTGACTGAATTATTTTTGTAATCAATAAAAAGTAGTGGAGTAGAAACAAGAGTAACATAGAACTGACGTTAATATGTACAATATATGATTAATGTTATATTTAAGTAACTATTTTTGCAGCAATGAAATTGGATGCCACAATTTTTAAACATTTTTAAATCGTTTGGTTGGTCTTTATTTTCTTACCGATTTATACTTTTTTAAATATTCATTTATAATAGAAAAAAAAATACTTTTCGACAAAATCATTAATTATTGCAATACTTTAATGCTAAATTAAGTGTCAGGTAGAATTTAAAATGACATCTCATACAAATCAACGAATTTGCCTGTCATCCCAGGCGATATATTATTTTAAGAGTGGTTTTAGTATAAAAGGAATGCTGAGAATTGAATACAATAAATGTCACCATTTAATTATAAATATGCATGCAAATTCAGTAATTTACAAAGATAAAATACATTGAATACTGAAAAAGAAACATATATCATAAAGAAAATGCCAGAATCTTTAATGTAGATATTTGGCAACATTGCATGATTTGACAGTTTTCTTCTTTTTTTTTATAAAACTTAACCTACCCTTCCTAAAACTCAAAAATATGTCACCGGTTTAAGACTCGCATAATAGTTGTTAATAAAATCTTAAAGCATTCCTCAGATACTAAAATTCCACCCAATTTGATTTTCATTTTCAACTCGCGCAGTGAAGATGAATTATCTGTGATTTCATTTCAATATAATGGTTGTTTGCCTCATGTTACCTGCAGGCTTTGTTACCGTATATCTGATTGTTTTACAAACAACGCCTAACTTTTAAAACAATATGTCCAATTTGCAAATATTCTTTTCATATTGACTCTATCGTTTACAAATCAAAAAATCTAAAATGAAATAATAGAATTACAAACGATTAGCTGTCAATTTATTTTGACGTACCTTTTGATTAATATTTTATGCTTCACAGCTGTCGATTTATTTTGTCGTACCTTTCGATAAATATTTTATACTTGACAGCTGTCAATTTATTTTGATATATCATCGATTAATAATTTATTCCAAGACACGGACCTTCTTTACCTAACAGAAGAATGTTGCCGAGATGATGGTGTTGGCATCTTTTTCCACGAAAATAATTGATGTTTGTCGTTGTTTTTTTTTCTGGCAACCTCGAAAAGTTGCAACGCTGCTTCTTGTGTTTTCGTTATCAAACCTTATATTTATAAAACACTATTTCAACGATCCGAAACTTGTTAATAAGACACGTATTTTGCAACGGTTTTTTAAGTACAACTAACTTTACAGAATCATTATAAAAACTTGTTGAATATTTATAGTTATCTATTTTTGAATTACATATCAGTAGACGTTGCTAAAAATACTATTATTAATAGTTATTGTTATTTTTAACCGAAATATATCGAACATTCTCAAAACTGACAAATGTCAGATGATATTTAAGAAGTTGGATTCTACAAATTTGACAATTCTTGATAGTAATAGAAATTAAAGAAAGCGTATGTTATACAAAACAAAACTTTGGTTTTATATCGATACAGATCACACATTTTCCCACAATTTCACCGCTTGTTGAATTAAAAATTCGGCACAATTATGAGATTGGAATATTTCACGTGTTTCTACATTTTTAAATAATAAACTGCAACTTCAATTGTTGGATCTTGGCTCACTAAAAACCTTCTGGTACGAGATAAGAGTACTGTAATTATTTGATGTGATAACAATATATCTTTCTTTATCTGTGGACTTACCTTAGGGGTCTCTTGGGCTCCTACAACGGGCGGTGACGATCGGCTGGCCGGTCGACAGTTTGGCACTTTTCAAATAAATGGACCGTTCTCTCTTAATAATTCGACGACACTCGATCTTCGTCCGAAACATAAGATCGATTACAAAAATCGAAAAGAATAAAAATATTCAAACAATTAATATGAGCCAATCTGCAATATCAATAAGTATCGACATGTTTATGTGTATCTTTTGTCACTTTTTGTTACATCATTTTGGGTAAAATTTTAAAACCAACAAACATTCTGTTTCATTGCTGAAAATAACTATTTCCGCATGTTTGTTTTATTTTGTAAATAGCCTTATCATTTCAATTAGTAAACCAATTCAGTATAATGTATATAAACTGGTAGTCTTTTAAGAGATATTAATATATAAAAAAACTTGTAGTATTGTATACAACTAGAGCACAACTTATTTTTTTGTAATTTTCTTTATTGTTATTTCTACGTAGTTACGAGTACAATTCAAACATATTTATTAACTTTATTTATATTTTTATTGAATAATGATGAATCTGTGTGTACTTCATTGGGTATGCCTATATAATAGAAGATACTTCAACTAATAAAGAGGTATTGTTTAACGGAATTTATTTTTATATGCCTTAAAACACTCTTCACAATATTCTGCTTACATTGGCGAAACTAATCGCTAGTAAAGAGTTAGGCTTAGTGAACGCAAATGAAGAAGCATTTGAGCAGCTGATTTTGATCTATTTGGTTAACATTTATTCTAGAAGATTATTATTTTTAGACATTGATTACAATTTGAGATAGATAATAGTAAAGTGAACACTTTTTATTATTAAACTTTCATCTATGTATATTTTTAACTTTTAACAAGGCATATAAAAGTAAATAGATGTTGAAAAATGATTTAATATAGACGCTTCTTGGGAAAATCATTTTATTTTACAATTTATTAGTCGACAGATAATGGCACAATAAAAATGTGTATTAAAGATCTTGTGTAGACCACTTGCAAATACAGGGTATTATTTAAATACGTGTAGATAATAAAAGGATTTTTTTTGGCTCAAAAATATACTAAAATGCGCATACGCCGTTTTCATAGGTATCCTTAATTAAAAAATATTCTCATAAATTTTGTTACGAACCGGCAACAACGCCCTATGTATAGACTGCTCAAAACCGCTTTTCAATATTTTCGCTTTCTATTTGAGGTAGGTTAACATTCAATCTTGCAATAATTCTCGTAAACAAAATTTTACTATTTTAAATGTTAAAATACACTTAATTTAGGTAGGTACATGTATTTTAATAATACCGTGTCTACATTTCGATAAGTCAATGCTTACTTTTCACAAACACATTGCCTGCCAATAATGCATCCATTTTTGAAAAAGTTTATTTTTATTAACCCTTATGGTTTTTGATATCTAGAATAATTTTTCACAGAAGCGGATTTTTGTATGAGACGAAAAATCATAAAATACGTATTATCAATGTTAAATAATGATAAGAGTTTCTCCGTTATATAACAAGACTTTTCAAATAGTGACCCAATATAAGCAACAATCGGTAATGGGTTTTTTTTATCTAAATGTCACAATTTTGGGTGTTTAAATAGACACACTTTGTTAATGTTATCAATAAGGTATCTTTACAAGACTATCTTAATAATACTTTTATGCTATATTAGTGATGATGTAATTTGTGTTTCAATAACAAATGACAGTGAAAGAGTAGACTTATTTAAAGATATTCGTTAGTGAATCCAAAAGTTGGTTTCTCTGGATTTGTGAAAAACTACCGTAGGAAAATTTCGACACTATCTAATAGAGAAATTTTGAAAATGCGCGTAGGGGAGGATGGGGCAGATTTGGACACTTTTTTTCAATAGCAAATATTTTCCCAATTTTCAAATATTTAGGACTTATGAATGCACTGAGCGATAGCTATATACAACTTGATCCTAAACATTGCTATCGAAAATATTAACATACGAGTATAAAGCACCATGTGGTAGATTTAGACAGAGGTGGGGTACAATTGGACAATAGTATTTTTACTTTATTTAAACCTTTGTGTAAATAATTTTAAACAACTGAACCTATGAATATTATTTTTTAACTTAACTAACAAATAAACTTATTATTGGATGTTATATTGAAAAAATTAAACATTGAATTATATGTAAGATGCTTGTCTGGACGTTCTTTAGTTTTCTGGAGGTTGAGGAAGTTTCGTTAAGATGTCCTAGGTATTGTGCTGATGTCATTTAGAATAGGATAGTAAAATCCACAGTTTGGTTTGAATGGTAAAAATTTTTTATTAGCTCATTGTAATGGTCGTCTAGTTCTTTTACTTGACCCACAAAGTGAACAATAGTTTTCTTTTTTTGCAAATTTTACCAACACAAAG